TTATTTTATTTTATTTTATTTTATTTTATTTTATTTTATTTTATTTTATTTTATTTTATTTTATTTTATTTTATTTTATTTTATTTTTTATTGTTATTGTTAATATTATTTAGAGACTCTCGGCAGTTTTACAGAAAGAATGACATATAAGAAATGAAGAAAAGTGCTCTTGATTACCTCAACTTTTTGCCGTACGTCCTCTCGGTTGGCCATGAGATGATTCAGGGTAGTCTGTGCGTGCTCCATCCGGCTGCAGTACTCGCCATAGATCAAAAGCCTGCAAAGAAGCAGAGCAAGAATGGACGTGCCTCCTCTTCCCCACGAGAAGGGGACTCCCAGCCCAGCTCCCCTCCATTTCCTTCTTACCTTTCTTTGAATTCAAGAAAAACTTTGGCCAAGGTGCTTCCACCAGCCATCATGGAGACATCGATGGATCTGAGAAAGTTGAAGTGCACTTTAATAAGGTCCTGAAACAAAGAAAACATATTGGGGAATTGGGAACATATTTTAAATTTGAATCCTTGCACATTTAAAAAGAAAGTACAGCTTGTCATTACTGACCATGATTCAAAAAACCGAGTTGCTGGGGGCAGCATCCAGCATATGGCTGGTTCTCAGAGCTTGCTGTACACCAGAAGCTGCAGGCCTGCAGGGCTCAGAGCCTGACAATAAAGCCAAGTAGAACCACAGGAACGTTACCTCCAAGTTGATGAATATGGCTCCCATGTCTTGTGGAGTCAAGATCAGCCTTAATGGATTCATGTAGTTCTACAAAAGCAAAGTAAAAAATGATAAGGCAGCTGTAGCCTTCTGCTTACGAAAGTCCTTTCTACGTGCAAAAGTCTGACCTACGTGCAAAAGGCGATTCCACTCCAGGGGTCACAGTTTATCAGAGTTGGAAGGGACCTTGTAGGTCATATAGTCCAACCCCCACCCAAGCAGGAGACCCTACACCTTTCCTGACAGATGGCAGTCCAAGTCTCCTCTTGAAAGCTTCCAGTGATGAAGCTCCCACAACTTCCAAAGGCAACTTCTGTTCCACTGGTTGATTGTCCTCACTGTCAGTAAATTCCTCCTTATTTCCAGGTTGATCTGTTTCCATCCATCATTCCTTGTCTGGCCTTGGAAAACAGGCTGACCCCTTCCTTTCTGGGGCAGCCCCTCAAATACTAGAAGACTGCTATCATGTCTCCCCTGGTCCTTCTCTTCACTAGACTAGCCATGTGCAGTTCCTGCAACTGTTCATTGTATGTTTTAGCCTCCAGTCCCCTCATCATCCTGGTTGCTCTTTTCTGCCCTCTTTCTAGAGTCTCAGCATTTTTTTTATAATGTGGTGACCAAAAGTGGGTGCAGTACTCTAGGTGTGGCCTTACTCAGGCTTTATAGAGTGGTATTAGTACCTCCCTTGATCTTGGTTGTATCCCTCTGTTAATGCAGCTTAGGATTGTATTGGCTTTTTTGGCTGTCGCTGCACACGGCTGGCTCCTATTTAGCTGTTTGTCCACTAAGACTCCAAGATCCCTCTTCTCACAGTTCCTGTTAGTAAGCCTGCTTTCATGTGTACTTTTGGCTTTTCTTACCTAAGTGTAAGACTTTATACTTAGGCAAGAAAAACCTGGGCGCATGCTGAGACTCCTCTCCAGAGAAGAGTGCGCTTATGCACTCCAGGGGGCGTGCATAAGCGCACCAACGTGCCTACCGTCCCTGTCCTATTGTTTCTCTTATTCTTCTTTTATTTTTCTTATATGTACCCATTTCATGTATTCACAACTATGTATACACTTATACTTATCTTGTAAACAATTGGCAAATAAAATAGAATAAATAAATAAATAAATAAAATAGAAAGAGGAGTCAATGCTGCCTGACCTTTCCAAGGAGCCCCCCACTCACCTTCTCGATCTCCTCCAGTGTCTTGTAGTACTTGGCTTCTGTTTCTTGGATTTCTAACAAGCAGCAGTTCCTCTTGTCATCTTCTGTCATGCCCATTTTCTATAGGAAGCAGCACAAAAAATTGGCACCCAAAGCCGCCCAGGGCGGGATGGGCCAAGGATGCCCAGCTCTGAGCTGGCTCTGGGGATGGTGGGCAGGGACGGTTCCCACCCGCCTGCAGATGCGGCCCTGGGATGGAGAGGAAGGGCCGCCCGATGGGCTTCCCCATCTGCACCCCTGAAACACTGGCGGAGGGGGGTCAGGTCGTGGTGCTGGGCCGGATATCGAGTTGAAGGATCTCCCTGAACCTTGGACGGCATCTTTCTTCCAAAGCAGCAAAGACACAGCGAGGCAGGGGAGATCTGGATGGATGGATCTCCATTAGAAGAGCAGGGGGAAGAGAGGAGCTGCTGTCAAATGACTTTCTACTGAAAGAGTGAGGGATTAGATGCCCCAACAGCACGAGGCCAGGCTGGAGAAGGGCTCCATCCCAACTCGGGCCAGGCCTGAGTCTGAGGCCTAAGAGACAGACCCTGCCTGCCTGCTTGACATCCTGTGGCATCTCCCTGCTTGCGGCCTTCATGACGGGGGAGGCGCCTATGAGAAGGCCAAGCCGTATTGTCCCTCCTTGGAAAAGAATCAGCTGTGGCCTCTCAGACCAACGCTGGACCATCCGCCTGGGGCTGAAGCCACCTGAGTTGAGGGCGGCCATAATGAAACGCCGAGGAAGGCGAGAAGGATCAGCCGAGATCCAAACCCATCCTCCACTGTCAGGAGGAAGGGGAGGGGAAATCAGGTGTTTATTTATCCACCACAGAGCAAGCTGTGCCTTCAGCACCTACTACCAGAAGGGTGATTTCCACCATCCCCCCACCAACCCCAGTCAAATCCTTCCAGGCCGGCTGTCGAAAGATGAGGAGGGACCTTGGAGAACAGGTGGATTCACCAATGACCAAAGCAGTGCTCCAAAATGTTCAGTAGAGGCCAATGCTTCTGCTGCTGGCCCTGTCTCTCTGTAGCATGTAGCTATGATATTGTGTGAAGAAGGGGGGAGAACAGACAGAAGGAGGCCCACACAAAAGGCCGATTCCAATTCAGCACATCAGAAATGGTTCTCACGGCAACTACCAATAACATCTGGGAGGCAACTAGAGAAAAATTTCAAATAACCCTTCCAAGAGGGTGAAATTGACCAGGAGACACCCTGGCACCTCCCAGCACCCTTAATTCTTGGGGCAGAAGCTCCCCGGGCATGTGGGGCTGCATTCATGTTGGGCCCAGAGCCCCTAAGTGGCACTATTTCTAGCATCCAAAGACCCTGGAAGGGGAGAGGGACCCCTCTTCGCTTACAGCGAGAAACTTACCTGCATATATCTGATCTGAAGCATGCATAGATAACAAGCACAGTGAAGCATGGTTACGTTTGACATCATAAATGCCCGCATAACTTCCCCCTTATTCCCCACCCCCCAATATTGAAGGAAGTGTAAGAGGTCACTGTGAAATGCAAGAAAATCTCCCTGCTCTTGCTAAGTAAGCCTCGTTCGCTGCACACCTCCCAGGAACTGGGGGGGCACCTCAGACTCCGCCTTAAGCGAAGGAGCTCTTGGGCAAACCTTTGGAAGGTGCTTCTCCACCACTGCCGGCTAGAAGGTCTTGGAGGATTCTGCCTCTCCAAGAAGCCCCTGCAACCCCCTCCTTTGAAGCTAAGTGAGCAATGTCCCCTAAGGGGCCATTTTTTCAAGGGGCAACTGGACTTTCTGGTTTTTCTTGGAAGATGTTTTGCTTCTCGTTCCAGAAGCTTCTTCAGCTCTGACTGGATGAGAGGAGAGGACCTCTGGTTTGAAAGAGGGGTCCAAGTGGCCATCTATGTCCAAACTGAACAGCCCTCCCTCAACAGAGGGGGAGGGATAAGACTCAGTCCTTTCAACAGTTCCAAGAAGGCTCCACACCTATTTGCTCCACTCGGGTGACCCTGAGGACACAGATAAACCTCCAGGTGGCCTCAATGACCCTCTAAAAGGATGCAAATGATCAGCTGTCTGCAAGGAGTATAAATCCTTCCCTTCCCCACCATCCAGTCAGAGCTGAAGAAGCTTCTGGGATGAGAAGTAAAACGTCTTCAAAGAAAAACCAGAAAGTCCAGTTGCCTCTTGAAAAAAAGCACCTTTGGGACAGCCAGGAGAATCTCCATAGGCACTGAGTGGTTTGGAGAACAAGGATTTCCTCGGTCCCGCCCTCCTCAAAGACCTGGTTCCCCACCCGTTGGGGGCAGCCTCTTTGGTGCTGCTTTTGGGCCCACCGGCCCTTCAACCTGGCGAGGTCCCAGGGCAAGAGAAAAACTCCAGCTGCTCAACTCCTGGAGCTGACAGGGAGCACCGTCTGAGTTCATCTGATATGGCGGGTCTGTTTCTCCTCCAGGGCACAAATTCCCTCCAGTGGCCTGAAGGAGGGAGGGCTCCCTTTGTGGCCGATGGGCAGCTTTGGCTTTCCAGTGCTCCTTCTCCACGCCCTTTCCTGCCTATTCTCACACTTCTTCCAGGGCCATGAAGACACGAAACTTCATTCCTGCCCCCAGTTTTAGAAAGTTTTGCCACAGGAGCTTTGGATCTCTTTCATTCTCGGCAGACCTGAGGTCCCAGGTGCATAAAATAAAACGAATCTTACTCCTCTTGCAAATAATTTGGTTAGTGGAGCCACTGATTATCCCTGTGGTCTCCGCTCCCCGGAAGGCAAAGTGACAATGCATCAAACCCTGTGATCTGGTTCCTATTTGATGCCTTCTCCACAAATTCAGCTTCTTGCAATATTTTCTCTCTCTCTGCCACAGTAATTCCACCTCCTTGGAGGCACCGTCAGCAATAAGGGCTGTTCAGAAGATGGGGAGAGGGCACTGGGCAGGAAGTTGGAGAACCAACTTGACTCTTGGATGGGGAATCAAGACTGAAGAAGGCCCAAGGATCCCCTCCCTTCCCTAGCCTGCCCCCAACTTCTAAAAGGGGGTGGGGGTCTCCAAAAGGGAGGGAGGCCAAAGGAGCCTGACTCTTCCCTCCCCCCCCCAGCCAGTCCCAGGTTCCTCACCATGGGCTGCTGCACCTCCACTTTGATGATGTCTTCGTAGATGTCGTCGCCTTCATCTTCACACGGGACGCAATCGTAAATGTCCTCTCCCAAATCGTGCTCGCTAGAATAAAAGGCAGAGGCTTCCACGTCAGGGCCAGGGAGGGGAGGGGGGAACCCCTTAGCTCCTGGCCTCCGGCCCTGGTGGGAGCTGGGCGTGTGTGTCTCAGAAAGGAGCCGCTCCAGCCAGGCCTCAAGGCTAGAGAATGGACTCTTTCTGCCTCTGGCCAAAGAGAGATGGCCACTCGGTTGGGCAGCCTCCCTGGTTGACAGAAAGAGGCTTCTTGCTTTTACTTTTTCTGCAATCCCGAGATTTTAATGCGCGCCCGGGGCCAGAGGGGGGGCAGGCAGCATCTTATTCCCCTGTAAGGCTCCTGTTTAGAATGCTGGGGTTTCTGATGGTGGGAAAACCGTAACTGAAGAATGAATCTGCCTGCTTTTACCACCAATTGTGCCTTGACTAGTTTCTGATCTATCTTTTACTCAACCCCGCTTTGTAATTATGGTTTAAATCTATGGCCATCTGGTATTATATTCATCTGCTGTTTTTCTATGATTTGTTATTAATTTGCCATTAATATTTAATAGATGCTAAAGCGATTTTCCTTTCTTGGTGCTGTCCTGATTTATGGGCCATTCTCTCACCAGAGCAGCAACAATGAAGAAAGAGAGCAAGCTGCCTTTAAATGCGTATCCGTGACAACAAAAGATGAACCAGAATCCAAGTCTCAAACATACATTTTGGCCAGAAAATGGGTGTGGCAAAGTCCAGTGGCTGGCTGACAAAGAGATTGGTCAGCCCAAAGTAAACAGCACTAATCTTTTAAAGGGCAGAGCGGTTGATCCCCTACTTAATACTGGCGTGAAATAAATCTCCTCGAAGTACAGTAGCAGAGGAGTCTAAATATTAAATAGAATCATCGTTGTCTTTTGATGACCCCTTGCATTGGGGCGGAGTCTGGGCAACTTAAGGGAGCTGAGTGTTTACTGACCGGATGCCCTTCCTGTTGCCAGTGCAGAATTACATTCAGCAGATATATTCTCAATGTGCCCAAAGAGAGAAATATCTGCCTCTACCTAGGATCGAACTCAAAGCCTCCTGATTGTGAGGCAAGAGCTCCACCTCTAGGCCACCACACCACGCAAGCCTAAATGTTAAATAAAATCTCTGTGATAAAATCCTTTTATGTTATATAATGTACCTTTTATAATATTGCCTGTTTAAACTCTCTTCCAGACGGACAACACAACACAACTGCTAGAAACAGAGGAGCCCTCCGAGGTCCACAGTTGCCCGTGCAGCAGCCAGGAAAGGGGAGGGCTGGGGACATTCCTGCCCTCTTGAGAAGAGGGGCAACCCAGCTGCTGACCAAGCAAGGCCCCCCAAGGCTGCTGGCTTCCCCTAGCAGGCAGGCCAGGCCCCCTTACTCAGCCCCACTCGCCAAGGAGCTTTTCCCGTCATCTGCCGAGAGCCAAGCTGACCTGCGCAAGGAAGGAGCCATGGCAAAGTCTCTGCCCTGCGCAGTGCCGCCCAGGACTGCCAGCTGGCCCTGGGGACCCACGCCAAGGGACCTCTGGGGACAGGGCCAGAGAGAGAAGACCTCCCAAGAGAGGCCACGCAACCACTTTACAGAAGGACACCTGGCCCCGAACCCCTAACCCTCCAGGTCACCCTCACAAGGACACTTACTCCGCCAGTTCTTCCAAGCTGCGGTAGACATCATCCTCATTTTCGGTGGTCTCCTCTGAAGGGAAGGGCCTGGAGGAAAGAGGACAAGTGAGTCAGTCACATCAATACAGGTGGTGCTTTCATTGGCAGATTACGTCCCTTGCCTTTTCAGGTTTCACCCTCAGTGCACTGCCCCCTTTTCTGCTGTGAGATGGGCAGTTATAGGTTCAACCTGTTGTGGTCCACCGGCAGTCGGTGCAGACGGCAGCGGAATTGGACAGTGGGGAAGAACAGGGACCAGTCTGGGAGTCTGGGGAGGACTCGGACGAGGGTCCTGCACCTGATACAGAGATGGGGCCAGGGCCATCTGGGAGTGGGGTGCTGACTCCGGAGCCTCCAGAGTCTGGCAGCAGCGAGGCAGAGGACCCAAGGGAGCCTGTTCCCAATGTGCATGTGCGCAGAGCTGCTAGAAGGCAAGAGCAGCTAAGACAAAAGGGGTGACTCGGGAGTAAGGCTTGGAAGTGATTGGCCCCTCCCATAAGGTATAAAGGAAGTGCAAAGGTAGGAAATCCTTTGCAGGAAGCAAGGTCATTCGCTCTGATCGGTTTGGACTCTGAAAGCTCCATGGTGAATTTGTTCTCTGTTTGGTTTTGGAAAGACTAATTGGGACTTTAGTCGTTGGCAGCACTTCAAATCAAATAAGGTGCGTTCTTATCGAAGAACACTGGCAGACGTCCCTGGGACTAATTATAACCGGTTAAAACTCATTCCAGGTTGTGAATGATGATAATACACAGCCATTGAACTAAAATAAGAGTTTTGGGTTTTATGTGTGTTTATTGGTGTCTCGGGAAGCCTTGGTCAGAACACAACCAACCAACCAACCAAGGTCCCTGCAAAGAGACTCCTCTGATGGAGAAAGGCACCAACCCTCCCTCCCCTCCAGAAATGAGGGCACAAGTGCTCAAGATGCCTCTGGATGTGGATTCTGCTTCTGTTCTGTCCACGTAAAGACCCACTTTCCTTCCATGCCAAGGAGGACAAACAAGAATGCAGAAGCGCACAGGTTCTTTCCTAGCTTCCAACAACAAGCATCTCTTCCCTGCTTCTTGCCGGACACCCAAACCTTCCCTCAGGGAGAGCGTAGAGGCTGGGCAGCTGCTGCTTTGCCTGGGTCCTGGACGGAGCAGAGCCGGACTCCTGGGCTTCAAGGGGGCTTTGGAGCCTTGGTCTCTGCAAAATCCCAAGAGGCCAGTATCCTGAGCTCTGCAGATGCTTCACCCTCCCCCAGCTTTTGGCCAACAGGGCAGGAGACATTGTTCAGCCCTATTTAAATCTTTCTTGTGGATATGGATGACAAATAGGGGGCTCTGGTCCCTCTCTCAATGCTTGGGGTCCTGAAGACCACGTCTGGTAGAGATGACTGTATCCTAGCAACTTTTGCTTCTTTGAGAAGACTCCTGCCCAGAAGCAGCCACAGAGCAGCTTCTTGGACAGAAACCAGGCAGGGCAGTTCAGGAGAGAGATTGGCAGAGAGAGGAGGAGGAGTCAAGAGAGCAACCAGCTTAGTCTCTATGCAGTCAGTCCCAAGAGAACAAAGCCCACCACGCCCTCAAATGCTTTAAACCTTACCTCATTTGACATGCTAGTTTAAGAAGATTCCTTTGCATTGGCTGAGCAACAAACCAGTAATTTTGACCAACAACTGACCTGCTAAGGGACTGAGGTTAGAACTGAATTTTGGGCTGATCTATGAAACTTAATGTATTGTCTGTAGGGAACATAACTTTATGTAAATGCAGACTCAATGATCCAGGCCAAAAGTATCTCAAAAGATGAAATGATGGCAACGGGACCAACATTTATTAAAATTGATTTCATTTGGCCTGGATGATGGGAGCCTTGGTTTACAGGTTGCCTTTTATTTTGGGAGAAACTCCCTGCAGTCTGCATGGCAAGTTGTTCACTCCAATGACTCTCTGCCTACCCAAATTTTGACTGAAGAAGTTACTTGGATGAGTAACGAAACGCCTCCGTTTTAATAAAAATCCAGTTAACTTTTTTACTGGCATAAACTTATATTCTTTCCGCTTCTGTTGCAAGAGGAGACTCATCGAGTTGGAAAGAATCCGGAAGCCCTGTCCCCCCCCCCCAGTCCACCTGGGCAGGAATCCTCCTCAGGCTGCCCCTGCCAACAGGGGAGCCCCATGACTCCAGGAGCCAGCTGGGCCCTTGCACAGGAGCCCCTCCCTCCCTGAGTTGGGATCTCCCCAGGTAAGGCCTCCACCCGTTCTTGTTCTCTACTTAAGCAGAGAATAACCCACCTCCTCTTCAAGGACCAGATGACACAACCACACCTGCCTTCAAGTTTTCCGCCTTTAGGCTACACACACACACACACACACACTGCCTTTTCAGTTCGTTTCATGCTCTCTTACAATAAACGCCTCCTCAGAGGCAGCCAACCGAGTCCCTTTCCAAGAAGCCTCCGTGCTGCAAAGGCCTGGCCAATGGGAGGCATTTTCTTTTTCTTTCTCGCCTTTTCCCCATGAAGATGTTTGCATCTTTGCAGCCCGTGAGACTTCTCTGAAAGCAAGCCTATTTCTCAGCGGCCTCCTTCAGAGGTTGGACCTGCCTACACTCACAATTCACTGCTAGAAGTGAATCTGTGCCGAGGCTTGCAAAGTTGCACCTTCAGGGCTATCCGCTGTCCCCCCAAAAGCAGACAAGCCCTTAGAAGGGAGCAAAGGGGAGCAGGAAACTCTGAGTGCTCTGAGGCCGCCTCAGGGACATCTGAGCACATCTGGGCATTGGCAGACCAGATATCCTGGACAGAGCATGAGAGAGAGGAACCACCTAAATAGATGGGAGTTGAAGGTTAAGGAAGTCATAGATCACCAAGAAATTGAGACATGCAATGGAAAATCGATTTTGTAACATCTGTTTAAATGAAATGTCATCTCCTTGCATTAACTGAATTATAAATAATAGCATTAGCCCTTAGACTTATATGCCGCTTCACAGTGATTTTACGGCCCTCTCTAAGTGGTTTCCAGAGCCAGCCTCTTTCCCCCAACAATCTGGGTCCTCATTTTACCCACCCCGGAAAGACGGAAGGCTGAGTCAACCTTGAACTGGTGGGATTCGAACTGCCAAATTGCTGGCAGCTGGCAGGCAGCAGAAGCAGCCTGCAGTACTGCATTCTAACCACTGCGCCACCAGGGCTCTTATATTAAATAATGACATGTTAATGATTTTGTTATCCCAAATCCTGATCCATGCAGGACAAGGGTCTCTTCCCGGAAGGAATGGGCTGCAATTTTCCATGGTGGTCCAGCATGGGTTGGGCCATAAATGTTTTTTGATCTCCAGTGCAGGGCTGAGATGAGGGGGGGAGGGGTGGACCAAAATCACCCCCAGCCTCAGGAAGGACAGGAGCCTTGGTCTCCCTGCTCCCAAACCCAGCAGCTTCATCATTCATGGTTGGATAATTCAACTGTAACACATTTTGAAGGAGATGTTTGCAATCCTCAAATAAGCCTCCCTTTAAAGCAAAACATTAATTTATTTGTTGCAAAAAACCAGTTTTTCATTAAAAAGGAATCTCAAAGTGGAGTAAGAGGCGGTTGTTCTACCTGATTCCCTTGTTCTGGGCAATGCTGTGGTGGGAAAGCCTGGAAACCGCTGAGATGACCTGGTTGAAAAAAGAGAAAGTTCAAGGTCAGCATTTACAACCTGCTCTTTATCCAAAGGCACCTGAGGTGAGGCCTGAAGCACTTCATTTCACCTGCAAAGGACGTAGCCACTGTCTCTTGCCTGGATGACCCTCTGCCCTGAGGCTGCCACGGTCTTCATGCCACAGAGCAGGACCTCAGCCTACACGGCCGGGACAGTGGCGCCTCCTGCCCCAGTTAAACATGCAGCAGACACCTGGCTAAAAAGGGACATTGAACTTGGACTACAATCCCCATCATTAGCATCACCCAGCCAACCATGGCTTGCCTCACCACAGAAGTTGGTTGGTCTTTTAATGACCCTGTATACCCTTGCATCAGGGTGGAGTCAGGGCAACTGAATGGAGCTGAGTATTTACTGGCCAGATGCCCTTCCTGTCACCAGTACAGAGTTATTTTTCAGCAGACATAATCTCAAACATGTGGAGAGAGAGAAATATCTGCCTCTACCTAGGATCAAACTCACAGTCTCCTGATTGTGAGGTGAGAGCACCACCTCTAGGCCACTGCACAGGTTGGTAATGCCCCAAAACTCTCCCTAGCTACAGGCTGCGGTGTAATTCAACCAGAGGGAAGGAGAGAGGGAAGGGAGAAGAGGGGAAGGAGGGGAGGGGAGGAAGGAGAGAGGGAGGGAGGGGAGGGATTTCACCATGGGATCCATAAGGAAACACTGGGGAGCCTCCCCCCTCCCGACACGCAGGGAGAGAATTAATATTCAGAGGCTAATCCGCATTTGGAACCCGGCCACTGAAGAAGCCATTTCCTGCCTGGCAGCTTCTCAGGGCAGCTGGAGGCCTGGGCATGCATGGCTGGCCAAGCTCAGCGCACAGTAGCTGCCAGCAAGGCTCCTCTGAGTTGATAGACCCAGAAAAGCGCGGGAGAACATTAAGTATGCATGGAATAGTCCGAGGCTGCGGTGGCTTGGCCAGAGGGGGATCCCGGTGGAGCCCCATTCGGAGCCAAAGAGCCGCTCCCCTTGGGGTCACCATCCCTGGGCCATCTAGCCAGCTGTATCAAGGGAAGCGCTTCGCACCCAGACACTGAAGGCGGCGGCATTTTTGCCCCCACCCTCTTCAAAGTACCCAACCAGTTCCAGGAAGCGTGTGTGTGCGTGCTCTGTCTTGGGCCATGAGACACTGAAGTGGCCGGTGAACAGGGCCACCTGCCAAAGGGTGTCCGGCTTCTCCTGGTCTCCCCTGGGCCTCTTGTCTGACCAGCATTTGCTGGCTGAGCCCTTAAGTTGCCCATCCTGGTTCCTCTGACTCTCCCCCCCCCAAGTTCTTCCTCTAGTGGCTTCCCAGGAGGAGCCTTACAACCAGAATCCCCCCAGTGAGGTTTGGGAGCAGCAAGTCAGAGGAGATCCAGGGCAGGAGGGAGGGAGAGGGGGAAGGAGGGAGAAAGGGAGGGAGGAAGGGAGGGAGAGGGAGGGAGGGAGGGATGGAAGGAGGGGGAAAGGAGGGAGGGAAGGAGAGAGGGAGGAAGATGGGGATGAGAAGGGAGGGAAGGAGGGTGGGAGCAAGAAAGGGAGGAAGGAAGGAGGGAAGGGAGGGAAGAAAATAGGAATGAGAAGGAAGGAAGGAGGGAGGGAGGGAGGGAGGGAGGGAAGAAGGATGGGAGGCAGGGAGGGAAGGAGGGAGGAAGGAAGGATGGGAGGCAGGGAGGGAAGAAGGGAGGGAGGAAGATAGGAATGAGAAGGAAGGAGGGAGGGAGGGAAGAAGGGAGGGAGGAAGATAGGAATGAGAAGGAAGGAA